ATGCCATTAAAGAACAGTGCAGCATTTATTTTTTCGCCAAGACATAAGATTTCTTTTGCATGGACTTCAAATGATTTCTTTTTTCATGTCTATTTGTGCTTCAGATGTTTGAAATCATGAAGAATCATTCTGCTAACCTGGTCCGCAGCATGAAAAAGAAGGCAGACAAGGACGAACCATTAGAGCTAAAGGAGTAGGACTTTAAATCACCAAGAAATGATGCCTAATTTCACTCCTATCAAAGCTGGTGAGCTTATTTTAAACATATTCGTGTTTGAATTTAGATTCTTTGGATCGTACAGTATGGATGTGGTAACCAGCACGGCCTTCAGTGTAGACATCGACTCCCTGAACAACCCAGCTGACCCGTTTGTGATAAATATCAAGAAGATGTTGAAGTTTGACTTTTTAAACCCCCTCTTCCTCGCAGTCGGTAAAGTTCTCCTTTGAGTCTTAAAACAATGTTTGACATTTGTGAAGTTATATTTCGAAATATTCTAATTCAATTGAAGAGTACCAAAAGACTGAAGAAAAACTTTCATAAGACTGGAGAATAACAACCTCCTAAGAATATCTATATAGTGTTTGTGCCTCATTGTAGACTCAGACATAGACTCAACTAATTCTGCAGGTTTGGTGAATGTCTAACTACTTTAATTCTGGTTCCAGTAGCTGATAGAGAGCACAAGGGCAGAGTTAAAGCAAATTGTCATTAAAGATAAAAAATACAACAGACAATATAAAAACAGTATATATAGTACAAAAGAGAATAAAAAAGTTGCAATGTCCTGGATTATGTTTCCTTTAGATATAAAAAAAAAATATCTGCACAGCAGAGAACAAAGGAAAGACTAGACAGTAGTTGACTTGCATTAAAGTCTGTAAGGCTCATTATCAAAGTGCTATAATGGAAACTTTTGTTCTACCAGATTTCCTTTTATAAGGCTAAAGCACTAAGTCACAGTTTTAGCATTGTGACAAATTTGTTTTTTCACAATGTTTGTTTGTTAGCTTTATTGTTGGTCAGAGATGCTTCAACCAATTCAGCTTATATTTGCTGCAGTTATAGTAAAGATGTTGATAAATAATACCTGAGGTGTCTCATAGGTTTTCTAAAAGAATGTAATTTTTTTTTTTACTGTTATAATAAAACGTTTTTGTCATAGAAAATAATGTTTTCCTTGTTTGAACACAAATAAATCAGACATAGCAGCAGCTGTGATAG